AGTTAGTCTTCTCTTTTTTTAATATTCTTGAGCTTGGAAGAGACTTACCAGATTCTGGCATGGGCTGGTCCAACGTTAAACAATTAGGCTTGATGAACTCTTTGCAGATTTTTTACGGAAACTGAAGGATAGATTGCACCAAGCTGCTCGGCAGGTGCTGAGTGACTACTCACCTCATAGCCCACCTTTCGGTCCCCGGTGCCTGCCTGTGGCTTCAAACACAGAGTTTGAAGCTGAATATCTTGGAGAAGGCTCAGAGCAGCTCTGCAGCAGGACTTGCTCCACATCTCAGAAGTTTTGAAAATCCCTGGAGATCTGAGGAGTATACTGCTGAAATCAATAGAAAAACCTCTCCTACTACAGCATCTGAATATCATACTTACCTATAAGTGGCAACTATGTCTGAAGAGCCTCTACCTACTGTGGGACTGTGTTCTGCCCTTGGAGGGCAAAGGCTGAGCTGGTCCTTTTGGCTTTGACAGAATTAATCCATATAATGTAACTGCTATCACCTTTTTTGCTTGGTTTCTTATCAATCTACTGTTTTCTCTCAGTCCTCACTGGACGTTTGCTTATCATATTTACATACCATATGAGCAAACTAGGGGCCTCCTAGATGGATCTTGACATAGGTCACACAACTTACTTCTCGACTACCTTTGATATCTAAAAATTGTGCAGATACATATAAATGATGCTATAGACTTCATGTATTTTTTTTTGATACCCTGTAATTTCGTATCTAATGTTGTATTGTTATGCCATTGCAAAGTTTTTTAAAACATTTATATATAAATTTTTACTTTATTTGCCTGAGCGGCCACATTGTGTCAGATTGTAAAAAAAATTGACAAACTGCTGCTCAACCTATCTTGCCAGCTGTGGCAGGTTCACACAGAGCAATCTAAATCAGTGGCTGGCACTAAGCAATACAAGGTAACAATAATTCATAGGGTTACTGTGACGAAAGTAACCTCATCACAAGTTCTTGGAGGGGCCGGCTGGCCCGCCTCTTGCCTCAGGACTATGGGCCCAATGCACTTGAAAAAAGGCTTTGTTCATGTGAGTTATGTACTTTTGTACTCCAGACAGAGAGACTGATCGTTAGCCCTGATGTTTTGGGCATAGGACCATGTGCACGATCGGTCAAAAATAAGACTTCCAGGAAATTCCTGAACTGATCTGGGTGATTTTTGGATATGTTGGTCAACCAGATCAGGGGATGTATGTATGTCGGGGTTTTATATATTTTTAGGGTACTTTTGGGGTGTTTTAAAAAAAGTATGTTTTTTTCCTGTGTTTGGAGATAATAGGACTAAAATTAGTACAGTTACTGATCCAATTATCTCCCATGCAGAGGGGAAGGATTGTGTGTCGTGCCTTGTAACCTTATTGTCATTGGTCTGTGAAGTTGCAAATCAGCCTACCATCAGGTCCATGTGGGCGTACCCCTTGCATGGAGGTCATATAAGACCAAGTGTGGCTACCATTATACAGAGATTTGTTTACTCCTTCATGAAGTCTTGGCTCATGTTTGGGGGATTGGAGAACTACATTCACTCTGGGGATTGCTATAATCACACTACTCCCCTGAGTATAATCACTAGCTCTTATAAGAGCTGTTCCTGCTACGCTCTCTGGACTAGGAGAGGTCTACCCACTGGAAGCTGTATCCTGGTCTTGGATCCAGGGTGGGTGGAGGACAGCTGCGGCGGTTCGTGGGGTTTACGGTGGTTATGGTGTTCCACTACAGTGCTGATGGTGTCTGGTGGAGTGCTTGGTGTCCTCTGTGCCAGGCGGTCCGTCACAGTTACTTTGTGACTAAACAGCAGCAGTGGGGGACTTCATTTATTGCTGTTACAGGTATTTATGTGCCCCCACATTCAGGTGTTATCATATGTTCTCTCATTACACAAATCAATTATATTACAGGGAGTGATCGGGTCACGGCCAAAGTAATAACCAACAGTACATTTCAAGAAGCTAGTGTTTACATTAAGACTTACTTGCGGTAGTTGATATTTAGATTGGCTGTCATGACGGGGCCATAACTATACACAACCCCTGCACCAGCAGTGCTATCAATGATCGTCGCAATGCAGCCTCCATGTGTAAACCTGGCAAAAGAAGCAATGATTGGAATTAGTGTGAGGGCATATTTGATATACTGCAATGCAACATGCTTTTTAGTACATACTGTATGACCTCTACAGATAAATGAGTACAGTCAGAAAGCTTTACAAGGTGTACATGCCTTGTTATAAAGGACTGTAATGGCAAGGAACTAGTTTCCAAGGTTCAGATTTCCCAAATAATGCCTAAGGTTAATCAAAACAATATGGAATACAGAACACTACTTATCACAACAGAAAACACTTGAATACTTGGTAGATCAGAAAAACTGCTAGCAATAAGCAACCACTGTATGAACAGCTAAACAGTATATAAACACTCATAAGCGGTTCGAAAACTGCGTGCAGGGATCTGCTTCAATTAAATTTAAATCTATTTGTGAAAGAAAGTACAAACAACTAAAAGCTGTCTCATATGTGAATAGGATGCCTACTATTCCTCCATTATACGAGATCTTAACAATATTACACTATATGTTTTTTTATGATATATATGTGGTGAAGAATTATTAAGAAGGATTGGCATTCTCCCTCTTCTCAATTGCTTTGAACCTGTGGGGTCACCTGGGCAAATTGCTGTTTCGGGGAAGACCCCGGCTGCCCATAGTGGTGGGTTTGTCGTCCCTTCACGGTCCATGCCAACATAATTATCAGCAACAAGTCACTCTACTCCGAGAACGTTATCTCATGTATTGTGCAATACCCCTGCCACCATGAGAATGGGTGTATGGGCGTACAGAAGTGTGCATGAGTGTGCATTCATGGGGAGGAAATAAGGAAGATATCCATGTTTAGATGGTTGCACTTCAATGCCTTGTTTTTTAATCTATGCCACATTTCTTGCAATATGGTGTGTTCAGATTTATGCCTACCAGCACCACTGAAATATGTGAAAACTATGACTTTATATGTATTAACTGTATGATACATCAAAAATGAAGAATTTAAATAAAAAAAAATAAAAAAAATAAAGTTAAAAAGTAAAAAGCAGGAGGATTGGCATTGTTATATATTCATTCCAACCATAGGGGTCACTCAAAAGCACTCCACTTTATTGTGATAATTACTATAAACGTCTATGCCTTCTCTCACACACTGATATGGTTAATCATTAAACATAGATACAACAGATAAGGTGTGACTACAGAGGAGTTTAAAATATACTCCTTTAATGTTTTAATTCTTTTTTAACATTCTTTATTTTTTATCGTGCATGGTATGACAAACAGGAGAACATACTCACGAGTAAGTAAATGGCAATTAGAAGGTATAGACAAATCATGAAATTACAAAAATACTGCATTTTGTTGTATAACATAAACAAGCTAGGCAAACACGGCTTAGTCGTTGACGACATAATGCATTCAGGTATTGGAAATATAATAGACATGTGATTAACACAAGAAAGAAAAGAAAAGAAAACATGCCAAACAACTGTTATCCAAGTGTTAATTACATCCCAATGGCCCCTTTGGGAGAGTTATGAGAGACCAGAGTAGTAGCCTGGCTTTGACAGTCCTGAAAAGAGAGCTGTCGAATGACGTTGTTGGGCTTGTCATGAGATGAGAGGAATTAAGGCCTCCTGCGAGTCCTTTAGCTTATGCCCGCTAAGGGCAGGTCATAGTCCTACAGAACGGGGTGTGTCCGCATGTTAAGTGCCACATAATCAGTCAGGGGAAGACCCAGATGGTAGGTCAGGCTTTGTGTCGGATGCTGCCCTGCCTGTTGTGCTTCAGCTTGCCTGGGGGATCTCTGTCCCAACTTGCTGATGCCCAGCCTCGGCATGCGCCTGTGTGCTGCCCTCCTCCGTTGCAGTCTCCGCCGCTTAAGGTAGGCTGCCTTTGGGCCTATGGTCACAGGTTTATTTTGGGGTGGCTGCACAAGTGGGGAAGGTGGAGGAGGACGTGCCATGTAGGAGGTACCTTTGTGGCAGCCTCTGCCAAAATCTTTCAGAGATTTTCAAAAGACCGCTGGACTTCTCCTCCAGGCAAGTCCAGAGGTACGTGGCCTCCGCCATTTTGAGTGCTCAATCGCGTTTGTAGTGCGGACCGTGACACCACAGGCTGCCTGTGAGGGTAAGGAGCCCTAGGGGTGTGGACCGGGAATCACCCCCACCAGTCCATGGTGGGACAGGGAGTGAACAGGGCTTCGGCTCCATGATGCCACAAGTATGCATGCTTGGGAAGATCAGCTGCCTCTACCCGCCGCAACGCAAGTTAGACCTCGCTCACAATTTGTAGCAACCCCGAGCTGGTCAGTTGGTGCTGGACATCAGGGTGCCTCGATTGGTACGAGATAGAGTGCAATACAGTTTGTCAACTGGAATTAATTGGTGAAATGAAGAGGAGCTCTTAGGAAACACGTCAAGTCGCCATGATACACTATATGTTTTGGTTTTTTTCCCGCCCCCTCCTTCAATATTTACTGAATAACTCATAATATATTCTCCTTCAATATTCAGAGCTTGTTCTGGAGATCAGTCAAGAATAAAATAAACAAGTAAATAAAATTACATAAAACATCAGAGCAGGCACCATTTCTAGAAGCTCTGGGCGATCCAACTTTAATCTCACCATTATCAAACGAATCTTGTTGTGACTGTGGGAACTGGCTGCAGGGTATTCTGCTGAACACGCAGAATACCCTGCAGCCAGTGGCTTTATTTCTCACACCAGGTGCAAAAACTCGAAGCTGAGGCCTACTGCGTGTGTGGACAGACATCCGATGGAGGGCTCCAAGCGTGGAGTGCAGCTATAACTGTCAAGAAC